TTTAGGAACCTGGTAAAGGAGAGGCAGAGAGAACCAGAACCAGAGAGGAAAACCTTTTCCTCATGCAATGTCTCCCCAGTGTCCTCTATTGACAAAGGTTAACATCATGTCAGCTGGAAAAGGAAAAATATTTAAAAGGCCCAGATGCATTTTCACATATCAGGCAACAAAGGGTGAATTTGGTGCTGAAAGGCAATAAATTGGTAACTGGCATAGCTAGAATGGTAGACATTATAGTAGGGAAAGGAGAATGTGAATTGCTTGCTCCAAGCTTTGATTAGTGAGGTGATATAAGAAAAGAGCTGGTATGGAAATTTCTCTTCTTTAGATGGAAGATGAGAAATGGGGATCCTTGCTGGGTTTACCTGTGAGGTATAGAGAATTCTTATTCTGAACTTTTCCTTTGGTACACCATTTACTTTCTCGTCTGCACATGTGAGTAATGTTATCCACTTTTCAGTGTTGTTGAAAGAATTAGTGATAATTTATACACAATGCCTGACCCATAGGCCTCAATAATAGTAGCTCTTCTTCCCTAGATGGATGGAAGCCTGAGAAAAAGCCATGGGAGCAGAGTTGGATTAAAACTGAAATTAGATATGATTTTCCCAGGAAATGGAGAATTAAGTGTTTTTTGAATTGAAATATTTAGAACTGGAATTTTGAAGGAGAAAATGGGAGAAGTTATGCAGGATCATTCCAGAATGTGTATTGCGAATTGGGAATAAAAATAAGGCTCACTCTTGGTTGTATTCTTTAGCAGGGGCACTTATTTACATGGTTACTTAATTTGGTAGAAAGCAATTTTTAATTATTGAATTTGGATTTTGTGGAATTTTAGGTTTTTAGGGATTAGGATAGAAATAAGGTGCTCAGTAGTGGGGTTGTAGTACCATACAATATCAAATTGAGTGTGTAGGTCTGGGATGTTTTAATTCTCAGACTACAAGAGTTATATATATATGGTAAATGATTGTTACTCTACAATCTTCTGTGTTTCTGCTTTGGCTTTATTTGTACAATGTTCTGGGAATTTGACAAGTGGTGGATGGCTTGGAATTAAGATGACAGAATTGAATGATGCCCAGAATGTAGTGTTGTTGTGGGGCTGCAGCTTGACTGTGTCTTGGGATGCCCCAAGCCTCATGTTGGAAACATAAACCCTCAGAAAAATGGGTTGTCAGTTTGAGATTGAACTGACTATAGGGGAATGGTTCTTAGAAGTCCCATATTGTGAGCTCACGGAAAGACTTAACTCTTAATAATACTTCGATGAGAGGTTTAATTTACATAGCACACCTTTGTTTGGGTGAGAAAAAGAACTTCCGTAGGATTTTGGTAATATCAGAAACCATATTTCTCCCATGCTGTCCTTTTTTTGGAGAAGGGTATAAATTTTGTATATGGGGAGGGGCGTTTCACAGGATGTTTAGAGCTTCTTGGTAGTGGTCAGGGAGACCCAATCTTCAGATTTTCAGGCCCATTGCTGAGAGATTTTCCTGGTCCTCCAGTAAGGTCCCCTAAATCTAGATTCTCTGGACTCACTTCTGAACAGCTGTGCTAAGGATTAGAAGGATGAATGTCCAATTGCCAGATTGTCTCTATGCTTTTAAGGAATCTTGATATTTTATTTTTGCATTCCTCTTTGTGAACCACTTTAGTCTTCCCCAAAGCCATGAGTGGACTGTGGATGTATCTTCTCAGATGACTGTTGTGGGGTTATTTGCATTAAAGTGGAAGGCACATAGTAGTTCAGGAGAGGAAAAAGGTCTTAGGATATAAAACAAAATGAGAAGGAAAGTTACTTTTGGGAAAAACAACAAGCCATTTAAGGTCAGTGGGGGAGTTGTAATGGATTGTTGAACAAGTTTTCTGTCATTCGGTTTTGGGAGAGATACATTGAATTAATGCAAGATAACTGAGTCAGAAAGACCTAGCACCTTGGAACCTTAGGTCTGTGGATCAAGGAGGGGCAAAGGTATAGATCGAGGTCAGATCAGAGTGTGCTACTAAATTTTGCCGTGCTCTGGCCTGGAGTTATCCTTGTTGAGGTTAGAGCTGTATAACTCTGTATGGAGGAGAGAGATTAATGAAACCTCTGATGTTCTTAAAATTTAGTAATTAAAGGATGCTTATTGTCTAAATCAACCAAGTTCCTCTGGAGATCTCAGAGAGGCATGACTGCCCCAGAGGAAGAGTCTTGTTATCAATAGAGAACAAAACGATCTTGCTCTGGAACTTGAAGCAGAAGGATTTAGGATAGACATTATTCCCAAGTACTAACCACCCCTTCCCCCCAACCCCCACCCTGCACACCAACCCTCAAGGCTTATTGCTCTTTCTAACAACAGGGTGGTGCTGTCCTCTCTAGGTGATAGCTTCTGGTTTATAATCACAGACCATTAAAATTTGGAAGGGATAGTTCAGTCTTGTCTTTCTGGAGCGGGAGTTGGTATCTCCTGATGAGGGGTATGATGCTGGTTTGTACTGACTTTTTTTCCTAAGGAAATCATTTTTTTATGAAGTGTCTTTTCCTTTTGGGGTGTCAGAAGAAGAGGGCTGGCAAGTAGATCTATGCCAAAGAGGAAGGAAAGAACTCTATGGACAATGTCCGTCAGCTGGCTTTCTTGTCCTCTGAGCCAGCTGAGTGGTAATGGGGCATTTGTTTCCTGCTTCTCATTTTTTGTTATCCCTCTATTAGTTACAGCATATTTATATCGAAATCTATATAGAAATGAATGGTTATGTATAAATGAAAATGTTTGCTTTTTTTTGGTATAGGTGTTTTTGATATTTTTTTCATGTATTTCTTTTCCTTTGATTTCAGCCTCTCTCCATGGTTTCTAATCGTCCTCCTTTCTGATCATAGGGGTATCAATAAACATGGTTGTTTGATTTGCTTCTTGTCTTTCTTTCATGATGATACCATTGTGTGCAGCCAACCTCTTTTTACTTGGAGTCAGCTGATTCAAAGGTCAGACTTCACTGACTTTCCTAGCCTCAGAGCACACAGTTTTGCTTCTTTTTTTTCTGGCAGTTGCCCCATCCTGTGGCCACTGGCCTATTGCAACCAGGAAGTATAGCCAGGAAGTACTGAGACTACACAAATGGGTGAAATCCTGTTCCACGTGGTTCTGTGTCTCCATCTGGCAACTCTTCTTTGGTGCACTGTTCCTGTGCTGATGTGTTAGTCCCTTGCCCTTGGAGATCCTCAGGGTTACAGGACTTTGCCCTGATTTTAAAGCTGGAGGAAGGTACAGTGAGTGCTTGTAGATACTCTTGATTCTAGCTATGATTGTGGAGATAAACTTCCCCCTGCTCTATAGTGGAGATATGTAACTTACAGAAAGGGCAACCTTGGAGAAAAGGAAACCCAGCATGGTAGTTAAGACCTCAGGCCTTAGAATTAAATAGATTTAAGTTTGAATCCAAACTGTACCACTTAGTGCTGTGTGACCGCTTACAGCCGTGTCATTATTATAGCTTCTGTCCTTCACGTCTTGGCCCTAACCCACCTTTCCAGTCTCATCTCTTGCCAGTTCCCTTCTCATTGTCTACTCCTCCTGTTCCAACACTTGTGTTTTAACCAGATGGAACTATCTGGGAGCTTGTTAGAAGACCTCTGGCCCCATCCTAGAACTAACATATTGGAATCTTCACTTTATGAAGCACACATTAAAGTTTAAGAAGCACAGGTCTGAACTACTTCCTGGAACTTTGATTCCCGGAAGAAACTACCTCACAGTTCAGGCTGTGACTGCTGAGGATATGTGAATGGCCTTTGGAAATGTATGATATGCTTTGCAATTTGAAGTATTCTTTGAATGATTCTTTTAATTATTCCTAACTAAACTATGTCCAAAATAAGAGGTCTTTGAGCAACTAGCTTCCTTGGTCCCCTTCATTTCCAACTCTTTGAAATTCATCCTGCTCCTTTCTCCTGATTTTCTGGGAGTTTTCTTCTGAATCCAGAGAAAGCCTCCTCACCAGGGAGGAGCTTAAGCAGACTCAATCAAATGCTGCCATATATAATGCACAGTGTAGGTGCAACATGGGACACAGAAATTCAAAGACTATATGCCTCTCAGGGACCTTTTTATTCAGTTGGAAAGACAAACATCCAGAGTAAAATAATTTTATGCCTTATATTTGGGTAGCCCTTTGTCATCTACCATCATGTCTTCTGAACTTTTGTAATAATTCTGTGATGTTGGTAGGAAGGGATTATTAGCCTTTTTTTTTTTAAGATGATGTCAGATCCAAAGATATTAAGGGATTTATCAATGTCATATGGCTGTTAAAGAGCCAAGGTATATATCCATGTCTTCCAGCTCGAAGTCCAGGTTTTTTTCTTTTTTAAAATATTGTGCCACATTGTACCCTCTAATGTCAAATTACTTTAAAATAAAGAAAAAGCAGTGTAGGATTGCAAAAGTGATTGTTGTAGGTAGGAGGAGAGAAATCATTTGACTGAAAGAGTCTGAGGAGGTTTCAGTGAAGAAAGTATTTAGCAGGACTTTGAAAGGTGAGAAGGATTTATCAGGGCAGAGAATGGGGCTGGGCAATCCATGAAGAAGGACAAGAGGCAGAAAAGCACAGTCTGTTCAAAGAATAACGATTAGACCAGGGTTCGTAGGCTGTTTAGAATCTGGATTGTTCCAATCCAATTGAATGAGACATCTGAACTTCCCAGGGGGAGATTCTCCGTGTGAATCATTGTTCGGGGAAGAGAGACCACGGTCATTCCTTCATTTGCTTCATACTCTTGCACAAAATCCCTCAGGCAGAGTCAGGGTGACGTGACTATGGCTATCTAATAGATGGGACGTAACGGTGGGAGTTTCTAGGCTGGGCTGTGTTTTATAGACTAACACATTTACTTTTTAAAGGCCTACTATTTCTTGTTTTGGATAGTTGGGGGCAGCTTCTCACCTTAGGGAAATGTGGGTAGATGGTGGGCAAGACCACAGAAAAAATAGTGAACTTCAGAAAGCAGTCAAGATCAAGATCAATGAGAGCTGCGAGCATAAGAGTAGGGAACATAACCCTGGAGATCATAAAGGTGATTCTTAGGGGCGCATGGGCCCTGAAGATCTGGATTGGTTTAGACCTAAAAGGAAGTGGCGTCTGATTGGTTATTAAAAGTGAAAAAGGGCCCCTGCCTGGGCGGGACAGTCAGCCCTGTCACCGGGATCTGGCAGTCTCGGCGGCCCGCCTTTGTGACGTGGCCCAGCCAGCCCCAGCCTTAGCTCCTGCGTTGGTGGTGAGGCCCACAGTCAGTGGCCCCGCTGAGGCGGGAGCGGGGCCATGGCTGAGGCGGCAGAGCCCGCGGGCGAATCCCAAGGCGCTGAAGTTCAAAGCCAGCGGCCCATGGAAAAAGTCCTTGCGGTGCCGCTGAGGCGGGGTCCGAGCTCGGTGCTCAAAGTGTCCCAGCTGTTGCTGCGAGCCATAGCTGCGCACAAGGGCCTGACGCTGGCCGTCCTCAAGAGGGAGCTCGGGAACGCGGGCTACCAAGTGCGCAGGAAGTGCAGCCGCCCCTCGAGCGAAGCGCCCGGGACTGAGGTTAAGGGCACGTTCCTCCGGGTCAGCGGCAGCGACGCCGCCGGCTACTTCAGGGTCTGGAAGAGTCCGAAGCCGAAGAGAAGGCCGGGGCGCCCCAGGCTGGAGGAGGGCGTCCGCGCTCCGAGGAGGGCCGCTCAGGTTCCCAGGAGCCCACGGAGGCGCCACGCGCGGCCCAGGGCGGCCAGGAAGGCCAGGGAAATGTGGAGGCGGAGCGCGAGGGCAAACGTGAAGGCGAGGAAGACGAGGCCAAGAGCTAAGGAAGCGAGGGGCAAGGCGATGGGCGAGGGGAGAGGAAGGAGCACGAAGGAAGACATCAGACCTAGGACCCGAGAGGAGAAGAGGCCAAGCTCGAAGGCCAGAGAAGAGAAGAAGCAGGACCCCGAGAAGTCGGGGAAACGGACCATCCAGAAGCCAACCTCGGGTAAAACTGACCCAACTTGTAGCGGGCAGGGGAAGACCCATGACGCAAGGTCCGCTCGCACAAAGACTTCCACTAAATGTGAAGGTCCCAGGAATGCAGCCGGGAATCCGTAGTGTGGGAGCACCTTCCCTTCCTGCAGGCACAGACGCCTTTCCCACAGGCTCCGGTGAGGGCCGCTCCCTCTCACACTCATTGAATTGGACAAAACTATTTACAAGTCCTTTCCACCTTATCGTGTCTGTTTCTTCTTTGCCGCACTTGGAAGGAAAAGGGTGGGTATTGAGGGGAGACCTGTAGCAGGGGCGTGTGGGATGAAAAGAGAAAGAGTTGAGATTCTGTTCCTGCTGTAGGACCCAGGAAAATGCCTTTCAGAAGGAAAGAAGTAAACAGGTAGAAGAAAACCAGCAATTTCACGGAATTAGACAGAAGTGTTGAATTAATGCTAGACGACCTAGCAAATCCAAATTGAGTTTTGGGGAGAAGGGCATGTAAGGAGAGAAGTGGGGGTATCACTGTGTCAAGAGAAGAGTAGACAGTTGAGTGGTCCCACTGATCCAGTGTTCTTACCTGAAATTCTTTTTAGGAAAGGTCCCTTCTCCCAGAATTGATTGTAATGGTTTGTAGTTTTTGCCCTGACTTGACAATCTACTTTAACTTTAAAAACGTGTCTTCTGTTAATGGTCAGTTAAATGAGAATGTCTGTGAAAGCATCTAGCACAGGGCTTGGCACAGGGTAGGTGCTCATCCCTGAGAGTTAAATATGAGTATAAATAATTCGTGGTGGACTGATAATGTGCTATAGCAGAAAACTGCTGGGTCAGTACTTAATGAGACCAGGATTCCAGCCAAAGTTCTGCCACTCTGACTTTAGCTATGACCTAACCATTCATGGTCTTAGTTTCCTTCTCTAAAAAAGTTGGGATTGGGCTAGGATGATGTTAGGTGGTTTTAAGTGTTAGTAAAATGCTAAGAAGGATTTAAACATCATGACATATGCTTTACTTGACAAAATTCAATAAGGGAATTGTCAACTGGGAAAGTACTAACTCCCAGAGAGGAAACTATTAAGATTTACAGAGAGCATATCAGAAATATAAGGAGATGGGGAAGGCTAGATACTGAATAGCTAGGTTTTTTGCTCTTAAAAAACAACATGTACTGAGTACTATATACCAAACATGGAGAAAATGTATGATTTCTTTTAGTTCTGAATGCAGGAATTAAGAACAGTGTGGGAGTAGTTCTCATACCATAGGCCATGACAGAACACAGAAATGGTTCTGAGGGACCTAAACATCAGGGTAGCTGATTCAACTTGCTGTTTCCAACTGAAGCCAAAGGAATGGGGAAAAGGGAAGCACCTGGGAAGTGAGAGGGACTGTGGAAGGTGGGAAGGTGTTAAAACAACCTGGGGAGCTTTTGCAGAGGATACCTGGCCAAGCTCTTCCCAGGAGAGTCTGCTATCTTCTACGAGGAGGAACAGGGTATGTATTTAAAAAAAAAAACAAAAAGCTTAAGCAATGCTACTATTCACCCTCTCACACCCTTAATTGACAATTGCCGCTTTAAGCCTATGCAAAGCTGAGTAACAGCAAAATGCTTGCAGTGTATCTCATCTATAGATGATTTGAACTTTGAAATTTTCCCTGCAAGCCTGTAATTAGGTTTCCTGTGCACCTGAATTGTCTGTGAGTGGCAGAATGAAGCAAACAGAATCAGACACTAGGAGCCATCTGAAAAGAGGCAGTGAGAAACATTGTCTATTGAACACAATTAGAACAAAGTTAATCAGATACCCTTATGATAGCCAGATGCATTGCCCCTTTATAGTCCTGGGATATTTTTACCTAAAGAACCAGATGGTCTAGAATTAGAAAGCCTGTTCCCCTAAGATAGGAGGGGAAGGACACTGGCAACAATTCATTTTCTAGATTTCCTAAAAATCATTACACTTCTGTTTGTGTTGTCTTGATTTCTTCATTTAAACAAACTTGCATTCATTCACTCGGTAAACTTATCAAATTTATTAAATGCCAGACCTTGACCTTATGTAGCTAACAATGGTTATTTCAGATTATTTTTCATTGATAGGTTTTAGGATGGCTGTACTCTGATGAAATATAAGAAATGACCTTAACTCATTGGCAGGCTATCCAGATTATCTAGTTCATAATGCAAGCTAGGTACTTCTGTGGAAGGAATTCCCAAGAATAGCTAATCTCATCTCTAGTGTTCATTAATGACTAAGTGCCTGCAAGATTCTGGGTCCTTTTCTGGGAATAAAGATGGATAAAACTAATCTCCACTTTTAAGTGCTCACATTCGAGTGGAGTATTAGGGTTTTTAACTTTAGTCAGAGCAAATGGAATGTCCCTGACCTCAATTCTTTTATCTCAACTTCCCAGTGCAATGATGATCAGAAAATTGTTGGACTTTAGAATTATAACAAACGTTAGATGCCCTCTAGCATCAAATATTGGATGGTTGTGGAAGAAACGGTTAACAAAAATACAAATGGCTATTAAAAATACGAAAAAGGTGCAATTTTACTCATAAGAGAAATGCACATCAAAACACTAAGACAGCATTTTCAATCGATCCAAAATGTTTGAGAACCTACTCTATCAGTGAGGCTGTGGAGAAACAGGTGCTCACATACAATGCTACTGGGAGTGTAAATCTCCATGACCCCAATGGAGGGAATATGGCTTTCAAAATTACACATGCAAATATCCTTTGACCCAGCAGAACCACTTTTAAGAATTTTTCTTTGAGATATAAATGCATTTGTGCAAAGACTTATGTCCATGGTATTTAGTTCAGCATTATATTAACAAAAAAATGGAAATACACTCAGTATCACTAGGCGGCGGCCTACATGTGAAGCTTCCATACAAACAGCATGCAGCTGTAAAAAGGAGGAGATTCTCTATGTGTTGTTATGACAAGCTCCCCAAGATACATTAATGAAAAAAAACATTCAAGACATGAGTCTACCAGACTACCTTTTGTGTAAAGTGAAAATATCTCTCTCCGCAATTGTATAAAGAAACTCTGGAAGGATACACACACAAAAAAACCTAAGTGGTTCTCTATTGTGAGGGGAAGGTGATGGGAATTGTAGTGGATACATAGAAATGAGATGCTTTACTATATCTTCTTTGTACTTGTTTTCAGAATCAGATAAATTGTACCTTGTTCAAAAATAAGGTAGAAATTTCCATGTAATAGTTAATTGTACCTTTTTCATTTATAAGGCGATTTGTAGTTTTGTATGCATTATTCATTTCACCTTCACCTCAATCTCTTAGATCTTAAGTAAAAAAGCTAATATTTAGAAAATGTACAATTTAGAAATTGACTTTTAACTGCAAATCTGGTGCTGCTTTTGCTACAGTTATAGATGTTGAGTGTGGCCTCACCATCTACTCAACTCTATGAGACATCTTTTTTATGTAGGTAAAGGTCAGAAGTTTAGGTTTATTTCTACACTGAGTGTTTTAATGATTTACAAGTTTCTTGCCAGGGGAGGGGCGTGTTTTCAGAACATGCAAACATCTCCATTTGTCAGTGGTCTCAAAGCAACAGATCTCTCCTGTTCTTCCTCCTCCTCTGGGGAGCTCTAACATGACAAGGCTGTCTGGTTGGGCTGGAGATCACTCCAGCCAACACCTAAGTGCCCAGCAAGGAGAGGAAAGCAGGTTGTTGTTTGGGAAGTTACTAAGGGGGCACCATATCACGAAAGGACTTAAAAAAAAATCCAGGGACACCCAGTGGCATAGCGGTTAAGTTCGCACGCTCTGCTTTGGTGGCCTGGGTTCATGGGTTTGGATTCTGGGCATGGACCTACACATTGCTCATCGAGCCACGTTGTGGTGGCATCCCATATAAAATAGAAGAAGACTAGCACAGGTGTTAGTGACAATCTTCTTCAAGCAAAAAGAGGAAGACTGGCAACAGATTTTAGCTCAGGGCCAATCTTCCCCACCAAAAACCCCCCCCAAAGCCAAAGGATTTGGAAGAGAGGAACTGAAGGCTGAGGGGGTGTCAGCATGAGAACTTGGATGAGGCTGGGAAAGGCATTGATAGAGTAAGGAGAAGGAAGTCAGATTTCAATAGTCCACTGGAGCTGGCTGAGAGAACAGGGGCTTCAATGAACAACACAGCTGTGTTTCTCCTCCCCTTCTTGTCAGTTCCCCCCCTCCTCCCCTTTTTGGTTAGGGGAAAGACCAGACTTGTCAAAAGTATTACTCCAAGTGATTGGGGGAAGTTAGAGTCAACACAAGAAGATAGGGAATCATAGGAAGCAGGGAGGCTGGTGACAAAACAGCCTGGCTGGTGTTCAGAAAGCTGCAGAAAAGGCAAATCCTCCTCTAAGCAGTAGGCTGAAGCTCTTTAAGGCAACTCTCCTGGAGAAAGAGCAAAGTCTTTGGATTGCACTCAAGGTGGATCCCTCTCCCCACCCTAGTGAAGCAACATGGGCGGGAGGCCCTGTCAGTGGGTCAGAGGCTGGCAGTTTCCCCCATGCCAGCCTTCCGCGTTTCTCTCACACTATTTCTTACCCTGTCCTCTCAATACGCTCTGCCAGGTGTCCAGCCTCTTCACCCTCAAAGGCAAATGAGTCTGGCGGACCTGGTTCCTGCCTAACCTCAACTGTGCATGCCTCCCCTGGCTCCCCCCAAATTTCCAATTATTGCAAATTTGCCTAGGGAGTCAATTCACAGTCACCACCACCACCTCAGGCTCCAGACTCCAGTTCAGCACTGTCAGGGTCTCCCAAGAGCAGGGCCAGCACTTGAACGACCCTGACAACCCTGAGACGGAGGGCCTCCTTAAATGTGCATCCTAGGCCCTCACTGCCTCACCCCAGGCATGGCTCTGCTAGGCACTCTGCTGCACCCCTGCACCCTCCCTTCATCCCAGTCTCCAGGTTGGGTTGAGTTCCTGCTGGCTGACTGGTGAGTGACTTCTGAGAGCCAGAACATCAGGAGGGAAGCAGGGAAGCCTAACTTGTGGCATCTGGAGGCTTATATTTTGGGAGGGGTGCCAAGGGGGCTTGCATGAGACTGCATGACTCCCCCCCTCCACCAGCTGTCTGGTGTCACCCACTCTGTTGCAGCCCTTTTATCAAGAGAGAAGAACTAAGAATGGAGGGAGGAGTAGAGGAGAGGACCGAGAGAGGAAATCAATGACACAGCCAATACATCCTTTATTCAACTCACAGGGACCATAAAGAGCATATTATAGATCCCTAAGGATACAGATGAAAGTCCCCCATTGGGTAATCCTTGGGAAGTTCACAGTCCATCAGAGGGAACCAAGTCAGACAATGGCTAGAAATCTGGCAGGCACAGAGCAGATAGGTTGGACGGCAAGTGGGTATATACCCGCAAAGCTTCCTGGAAGAGGCGCCTTGGCACACAGTGTCATGAGGCATTGTAGGAAAGTGGTGGCAGGGGAGGGCTCAGCTGAGGAACATCCTGAGTACAGGGACCATGGTAAAACTAGATCTCACAGGCCTGGAACAGCCAGTGCCTGCCATGTAGTATGGACACAGAAAATGGCTTGTAGAATTGAGACTGATTCTCAGGAGCCACAAGAGACAAGAAGGGACTGAGTAAATCAAAATAACAAAAAGTAGAAGGCCACTTTGGAGGCTACAGGGAAGAAGAGCCTGTAGAAAATGGAATAAAGGGCCTGGATTTGGCACTACTGGCAACCTTGGCCAAATCTGGATGTAGGGACGTGTGCATGAGAGAGAGAAAGATGTAGAGTGGTGAGATGGCAGCTGAGCTGCTACAGCCAAGCTAGGAATTTGAGGGACGAAAGTGGGAAGTTTGAGGAATGACTCTGCTTAATAGGCTTAAAGCTGACAGAAAAGAAACTGGACAACAGGCAGAGAGACAGAGAGCAAGTGGGCTCATGAGGGAACGGAACTGGCCAGAAGCTTCAAGAGAGAAACTCTGATGGAAGGAGAAGGATAGGGATTGGGAAGAATGAATACCCTTGGGAAGGTGTGGCATTCCCCAGGCAAAACAAAATACCAAACCAAATCACCTGAAAAAGAGAAGTGGGAGTGAAGACTGGAGGAAGAGCCCCGCTTACTGGGAAAACGAGAGTGGTGACAGGAAAGGAAAGAGGGAGAGAGCCTGAGGCCTGGAGTTGAAGAAACCCATAGCCAAGCTTCTCTGCCTTGGAGAAGGCGACTCCTGACCTCGCCCAAAGAAACTTAAGTTCACTCTAACCTTCTGACCTTGGAGATCCCCACAGAGGTGGGAGGTTGGCAACTGTCAGTTCACTCCGCCCTCGTGGGTGTGCCCAGGAAAGGAGCTGGAAGAGGTAATAGGGCCATGACCTACAAGACAGATCCCTTCCCACAGCCTGAATTGGACAGAATTTTAAAAGCAGGAGAATGCATTTTTGACATAGGCGAATTGGTTACCGCTACCTAGTAAGCAGAGTCTGGGTTCAAATCTCACTTGTGTCACATCTAACTAAATGATCCTGGTTCCTTCTTGTGTCCCAGGGGTTCTCTGGTGCTCCTGTTGCCCTGCCCATAAGGTAGGCCAAATCATCATTAGAAATCCCTTACATGGCACCTTATTGGTGTTCAATGCAATTGTGAGATTGGAAAACTTGGGTCCTTAAGGGCTTGAGACAGCTGGCCTTACACTCTACCTCTGTGCTGAATGCCTACCCTGCTTGTCTCCAGGGCAACTTATTAGGCATAGAAAAGAACCAGATAACTAGCAAAGGAGGACCATTTCCTTGGGTGTCAGCTTTTCAGTTTTACATTGGATTTCCCTTGAGGTATCTGCTCCTTTTTGTCCTTTCAGATTTCTGGATGCACAAATCCTCAGTGCCCATTTTAAAAGCTCCAGCCCCAGCCAATCACAGCAGCTTGGTAGTTGCCCCACTGGTTTCTGAAATTGGTGACTAACCCAGTCCTTTCACTAATTTAAGGATGAAGACCTTTGGACTCAAGGGTAACACAACTGAGGAGTAACTAGCCTAAAGAAGTTGCAGAAAACAAATCTGACAAGAGAAGTGTGAAGAACCCCTCTCTCACCATCTGAAGAGGGTGAGGTACCACTGATTGAAATGGAATTTGAATCTCCTAGCCAGTGGTTCTCAAACTTTAGCACACATTAGATACCCTGGAACGTATATTAAAAGACTGATTGCTGGGCTTCACCCCCAGAGTTTCTGATTCACTTTGTCTGAGATGGAGCCTGAGAACTTGCATTCCTAAAACAAGTTCCCAGGTGATATTGATGCTGCTGGTCCAAAGACCACATTTTGAGACCTGTAACCTAATATAGCACTCCAGGGAATAGAAGGAAATTTTGCCATCTCAGGATCTCCAAGGGGTCTAAGGGAATAGATTTCACTTTTCTGTTATTGCCCAGCCCCGCTCACCCCAGTGCATGCATCTGAATAGAGATGGAAAGAACCTGTCTTCCGGCATCTCTGGTTCTTAGTCAGGGCTCTCATTGCCCTTGATGGAAACAGGAAACAGTGATCTGATTGCAGGAGTGCTGGAAGGGGAAGGATTTTCTCCCAAATTATCACCCCTTTAGCTCCCTGAAGGCATAACATCACTCTAACAAGGGAAAAGCTTTTCCTTCCACTTACACTATCAGAGGTAAGGCTTAAAATGTAAACAGCTCTGGGAAAAGATAACACTTTGGGCTATGTTCTCCAGTGTAAGGGATGCTTTGCAGAGATACTTTGACGGGGGTGGGGGATGGGGCGGGGAGGACACTTGGGCCCTGAATAGGGTAGAATCACCATAGAGGGGAAAAAAGGGACAGGCTCCTGAAGATGGATTTCTCTATTTTACATTTTGCCCAGAGAGAACACAGAGGGGATAGGGTGAACATGTGGCAGAGGGAGTTGGGAGGAAGATGGGAATTTGAGGCTGATTCCCTGTGGGAAAAAATCATTCAAATCTATTCACCCATCTAATGGCTGTTGCTTATTTTATTTTTTGTCCAAGGGAAGTGGTGTTGGACCGAGGTAGAGAAGACAGAAGTACACGAGAAATGACCTAAAGGGATGCCCCTTCTGCAGAAGGCCCTTAGACTCCTCGATACCTTTCAGTTGGGTGCTACGTACCTACTCTTGGGGCCTTCACTTTCTACCCTGACAATTACTAAAACACATCAAAGGCTGGAGGTTATCATCTGCTTATTAAGAGGTGTGATCTGATAGTATGGAGAGTCACCTCCCACGAGTCTTTAAAACAAGGTTTGTGAGGAGCTGCATTTGTCAGCATGTCATATCTTTTTTTAAAAAACAGAGTAGAATGTAAGCAATACCATTTAGTCATTAAAGACCAGACTATTCTTATACCCTACTGCCTCTGTATCTTAGTCCTTAAAATATTTAGTGATCCTTGCCTTGTAATTCTTGACACAAATATATATAATGACCATACTGGGTCAGGGTAACTTCCTTTCTTTGACCTCAGTTTAGTGATTCCACGGATGGGCTCTGAACCTGCTAAATGTGTATGCAAAATGCAGCAAATTGCTAATATGTATTTTTCTCCAAAGTGAGTTTATGATTTTTATCAGATTCTCAAAAGGGTCTGTAACCCAAAACAGATTCTGAACCATTGCTTACATATAGATGATTTGCATTAATTAATTGAGGCATAGTGGGAGGGTAAAAGAAATGGCATAGTCCAGTTTTACCACTGGAATCCATTACTTTCCTCTTACTTGGGGCATCTCCTAATACTGATCCTAAAACGCTTCTGTCTCTGAGGATCTAGGACAAGGCCACCATAAAAGCCTGGCCATTTTGCTCTATTCCTAGGAACACAGCAAGAGAAGTATGTTCCAGGCAAAGAGGGAAGGCCGCTCTGAGCAGCAGAAGGGAGGTGGGTGCTGGGTTGCTCAAGTAATATCCAATCTAAGAGGCCCAGTCAGCAAAATAATCCTATTTTCAGCTCCATCTGGGTCCAGGACTGAGGAGCTGTGATTCACCCAGTTTTTCCTAAGCAAATGGGACAGTCATTGAACTAGGTTGTTGCAGCTCACTTCCTCTTGCCTGTTTAATTGACCAGTTGTGGTTGAGAAATAAGCATGTTAATGAAAACCCAGAATCTAAGCATTAAAGAAAAAATATCCCACTTCCATCCTCTTTGCTCTTCTCCCCCCCAATCCCAAACTGCTCCTACATACGAGGTAACTTTTAAATTATAAGACTGGTATTAACACATCATCAATAAAGAGAAACAATGACCAACTCATCAACTAACAGATGCTACAACACTTATGCAAGTCCTGGAGTTAACAGTCTTAGAGTGGACATCTTCCCAGAATTGGGAGGACAACCAACCAGAAAGCTCATTACCCTGCACCAGCTGAAAAGCTAAACCATAGCCATTTCCCCCAAAGTTCTGTTTCTGGGAGAATGAGATCCTCAAGAATAACTCTGCTCCCTTGATGAGGCAATCAAGGTCAAACGAGAGTGATGACAACAACCTGCAACTATGATTCCTGCCCTCATTTCCCAGCACTTAAAACAAGACAAAAACCCCACTCGACACAAAGCTTCTATATGCACTTTGCTTGAAATCAAGAAAAAGCTTGCCTTACTGAGGATGTCTCTTTCTCCTTCCTCCCAGGCAAAAAGAATCTGTAGCCCAGAGAGTCAGATGTAGACATATATATCCACAGTTGCCTTGACCTCAGTGATACTGGGGAAGGCTTTATACCTCGACGCCCACAACATAACCCACCACTTAACCCTTTCCACTAGGGCTCCCTTAATCATCGCTCAGGTTACTTCCTATCTTGAAACAAAAACAAAAAAACCCCATACAATCCCTACTACCCTCATCCCCAGAACACAACCGCTAGAAAATCTAGCTTGTACAGTATGCACTTTGCATGCTCTCTTCAAAGACCCTGCACAAAGATACACATAGACACATAAAGACACAGTCAAGAGGAGAGGGGTCTGTTCAAGGGGATAAAGTTTTTTTCTTCTGTGTGGGCCTGGGTTACTTGTGGGTATAAGGGTCATCTCTTAGCATTGTAGTGTGATCTCTCTGCTGGATATATGTATGTGCAGGATGAAGGGAACAGGAATAGGGGGTGAAAAGGTTATTCTATTTTTCAGCAGGTGGGGGTGAGAGGTGTGGATATATATTTGGATGATTGGAGTAAGGATGATAGACCCACCCAGGAATGAGGTCTGCCCCTTGGCTTTCATTTGAATATAAAAAGGGGGCTCTGGGTGCCTGATCACTATCTTTTTCCTGTTTCCTCATTACTCTCTAACCCAGTGTTCACCAGAGTGTTTCATGGAGTCACCAGTTCTGTGGGATGTGAGATAGAAAGGATACTGAGGTCAAATAAATTTAGGAAACACTGCATTAAAGGAGGCTTAACAATTTGTTCTGCTGCATAAGTTTTCAGAGCCTTTAATATGCCAGTAGAGTCTCTCTCTCTCTACATATAGAGAGAATATAAAAGTTATGGTATACAAATGTGATACTCAAAATATTTAACAACTGGTATGGCATAGGCTCCAATCAGAATGGACCTCAGTCATAAATTGCTAGTACCACTGTACCCTTGAGAATGGGCTCAGGCTGAATATCAGCCCATGTAAGCACTTGTTTCCCAAAAGTTTTGCCCAAAGGATTCTATTTTATGTGGTATCTCACAAAACTGGTGAGAAACGCTCTGGCCCAAACCGAAACCTCATCTTTCTAGGGATGGGGCCAGGGCTTATGAATCTGGCCACTGAGGTGCAGAAGAGGGGCAGCTCTGGCAGAGACTCCTGATAGCACCAGCTGACAGATGTGACCACAGCTGCAGCAGAAACAGATTTCAAAAGACAGATGTCCCTCTGTCCCAGCTGCTCCGGGGACTTTGTCCCTGATGGGTCAGCAGGTGCCTGTCCAGGTGATGTTTACGGCCGAAGCTCTTCTCACAGCGAGGGCACTGAAAGGGCTTCTCCCCTGTATGAGTCAGCCAGTGTCTCACCAGGTGGTGCCGTCGGCCAAAGCTCTTCCCACACTCGGTGCACACATGGCACTTTGGTGCTGGTGGGGCGCGCTGCCGTTTCCTAGCCCCAGGGCTCTCTCCAACCTCTTGGCCCTTGCAGGATTTGCCTTCAGCATGCACTCTCTGGTGGCTGGCCAGATGGGAGTTGCATCGGAAATTCTTGCCACACTCAGAGCATCTGCTGGGCTTGTCATGTAGGTGGGTTTTCTGGTGCCGGATCAGGTGATGTCTTCGCCCGAAGCTCTTCTCACACTTGAGGCAGCTGTAGGGCCTCTCCCCAGTGTGTGTTTGCTGGTGCCTGGCAAGGTGGGAGCCCCACACAAACTGTTTCCCACATTGGGGGCATGTGTGCGGTCTTAACAGGGAATCCATCTCTGTGCTACACAGAAGGTTTGAGAAGCTATCTTCCTGAAGAAAAGGTGGGCCTAGGAGCATTCCTCTGGAGCTCCTGGACATGGAATCCCAGCTCTCATCCTGCTCTGGGTTCCAGAGCACAGTATCTTCGGACACACTAGATAACATTCTGGGAGGTTCTGCTTCTAGTTCAGGGGTATCCCCCTCATGCTCACTTCCATCTCCTGTGGAGAAGGGAAAATACCGATCCCAAGAGGGGAGTCACAAGAGAGTACCCCAGGAGCCAAGTCACAGGGAGGCTGTATGATACCTATTAGGGGCCTAAACCTCACCCCAGGAGTCCTGAGAAAACAGCTTCTAATGTTGTACAAGACAGTGCAAGACATGTAGAGGTTAAAATCCTAGGTTTAGGAGGCAGAGTACCCAATTTTGAATTTCAGCTTTCCCATTTAATGTCTGTAAGCCTTCATTTCTTCTTTTGTAAAATGGGAGCAATTATAATGTAGGTGTTATAAGGTAGAGAGCACAGCAGCTGCACATAGTAAGCACTTAGTAAATGGTCTTATGTTATTTCTTTCTTTTATTTATTTACTATTAATCACCATCTTCCTGCCTAAGCACAGATGGAGAGAGTTACGGAATGTGCTGCAGTCATCACTGGCTGGGTGACCACCTGTCAGCAATACTAGAGACTCTGTGGAAGGCGTTTCCACAATGGGTGGGAGGTTGAACAATAACAACAACAATTAACATTTATTGAGTGCTTATTATGTGCCTGATACTGTTCTACTAGGCTAACATTTTAAATCTCACAATAATTTAAAGATCAGGAACCCAAAGAGAGGTTAATTACTTTTCCAAGGTCCCACAGGTATGGTCCTGGATTCAAATCCACAAAAGTTGGCTCCAGAGCCTGCCTTCTAAACCTTTCTGCTTCACTGTCTTGCTTTTGAAGAAAAAGATCTCTAAACCCTTCAACTCTGTAACTCTCTGAGGCAGAGGAGGGATCAGAAGGACATGTAATGATGACACTCCAAGAGGGGTGAAGGCAGTGGCTGAAAGTCTATTCTAGGTCCTTACCTGTATATGTGACCCTCAGGATGTCCCTCTCCTCTAAGTCCTGGGGGTCAGGGACCCATTGTTCTTCCCCTCCTTCTAATTGAGAAAGCATGTCCAGTTTGGGAATTGGAAATCCTGCCCACAGGAAAGGAAAACAGAGATGGCAATGAGTTCAACTGGTAATATTATATTTCTGAAAAAAGCTGTTTTTTAGATTATTCCTTGGAACTCTAGATAAAAGAAGGCCAGATTCAGACCTCTCCCTTGCCCCCTCTTCCCATTTTTGTTAAGTCCCTCTTCTTTCTTCTATAAAATCACACTCTTTCCCAATGAATCTGTTCTCTTCCAATCAAATTTCAAATACCTCCAGCCCAACTGTCCTTTCTGGTCATAACTTCACATAATTAGCCTGACTACAGCTGTCCCACCCCCTGCACTCCCATCTTACCCTAGATGGTTTCTGAGTTTCCAAGGACTCAGTTCCATCTCTTACATGTCCTCTCTATGCTTTGTAAGAACATCCCAATTCTCAAACAAGAAGAGTCTAAAGTCCTCTTCTCTATAATTCAGCATTATTTTGCTGTTGTTTTTAAAAAATGACACATCACTTCCATTCTCCTTGGATTAGGCCTACTTCTTTTTCTTTGGTGGGAACCTAGACAGATTCCCTGCCAAGGAATGAACCCTAGACAGACACTGCCCAACATCCTTGGAGCAGATGGCTCCATCCTCCCAGAGTACAATCTTTTAGTGGCTGGGGAAGGTCATGCTTACTTAGAGAAACCACTATCCCACAGTTTTCCTGCATGACATATTCTCCATAAAAGTCTGTCTGAGAGGGGTCCAGGCTCCGCCACTCCTCCTGAGAGAAGCACAGTGACACATCCTTGATGGTTACCAGGCCCTGAAACAAAATGTAGCCTGGTCAGCAGCTGTTCCTTAAGGAAAATGTGTTCTTAGTATAAAAGGCTCATGTAGGAGAGGAGAGAGAGCAGGAAAGGACCTAGAAGAATTGCCCAGAGGTCCCTCACAGTTTTGGTGAAGGGGAAATGAGGAGAGGGGTAAAGATAATGGTCAGTGAGTGAGGATAATGTCTATAGAGGAGCTTCCCAAGTGGGACCCTGAGAAGTTGGAAGCACCACAAACTCATTGCTCTTGTTTAACTACAGGTGTCTTCCCAGTCTCTTCTCACCTGTCTTATTCTTTTCATTGCAAAAATTGTGTACTAGCTCCTCCTTACTCCACTTGACCTTTCCTTTCCTATCAGCACAAAATGATACAGACAGAACATTCTTTCTCTCCCCAACCCTGTCATGCCATATCCTTATCTTTCGAGGCAGCATAGTATGGCAGTTAGGAGGCCAGATTCTGGAGCCAAATGACTCCTAGCTCTACCACTTATTAGTAGTGTGACCTTGCACAAATGCTTCAATCTCTTTCTGCTCTATTTTATCAACTGTAAAATGGGGACAGTTGAGTCTCTCTCAGGGTTAGATAAGTTAATATACATGAAGCACTCAGAGAATAGCAAGCATGGTAAGCACTCTGGGAGTGTAGCTACTACTATTATTATTATCCTTCCATGGCTCTCCCATTGCCTCTGAATCTACACCTATTTTTCTCTCTCTTGCTCTGCCCCTCTTTACATCTTTCTATCTTCTCTTTTTTCCATAAATCTCCATCATCCACCCAATCCTGTCCACTTTATGTTCTTTCAAGCTTCCTTCAGGTCCTCTTAATTTTTCCAGATTTCTTTCTTTTTTTTATTTTAATTTTTGCAGGGGAAGATTTTTCCTGAGCTAACATCTGTTTCCAGTCTTCCTCTTTTTTTCTTCCTTTTTTCCCCCCGCAAAGCCCCAGTATATACAGTTGTATATAGTTGTAAGTTCTTCTGGTTCTTCTATGTGAGCTGCTGCCACAGCATGGCTACTGACAGACAAGAGGTGTAGTTCCGTGCCCAGGAAGCAAACCCCAGGCCACCGAAGTGGAGCGTGCCAAACCTTAACCACCAGGCCATCAGGGCTGGCTCCCAGATTTATTTCTTAAAGGACATTAATGAATTGTTCTTAAAATCCTCCTGTGGATAACACAGCCATACATTAAAAAAAAAAAAAAAGAAAACCTAACCTTTAGGAATTCCCCTCTTCTTGCTATGCCTCCATTCATTTTTTCAAGCGTATTATGAGCCCCTTGGAAAGGGAGAGAATCTGCTCAGTTATAAGATGAACATACTGATAGTGACCATGTGAAACTACAAATCAATGGGATGATGCTAAGGCTGTGGAAAGGCAGCAGTGATGAGACCCTGGTAGAGGCCAAGGGAAGCACACAGCCCACCTGTGATCCAGCTGCAAGAAGTGCCGCTGCCATCTCCCAGTCTCCAGTGCTCCCCTCCTGGGGAATGGCAGGAACCCAGGGAGCAGACTGAGCTGGGGAGGGGAGAAAGGAACCATTAGAGATGGATCATCCACCCTTTCCCAGTAAGACCCTGGGCCCCATTTTAGAAGGGCTTAAGGGTCACATTTTGTCCTATATCTATGCCCATTGGTAAAACTCAAATGCATAAATGTAGTACAAGAGACCTTCCCTCAAGATGTTCTGTAAGGGTATTGATTGGTTCTTAGTAGAGCTTTTATGTCCTCCATCTCAAAAAGACTAGCTGTGATGTGAACTGATATCATTTGAATGTAATTTTCATCTTGCAAAGTGCATCTTACTGGGTGTGTTCTCCAACAGTAATCAGTGTTGCTGTCACTTCTTTTGTCTCCTACATTCAATATCACTAACCATGCACTTGCAGCACTGGAGGGAGCAATTATACAAGAAGAAGGAGAAGCCCCGTTATATGGTTTGCAGAATCCAGGAGCTCCTAAATTCCTGTGACGAGGGCCCAGGAAGAATGGACTAGTCCTGGCACTGGTTATGCTGTTCAGTCCCTAGCAATTTGGGGATCAACTATACTTTTTGAACAGAGATTAGGAGACTGCTCTGCGCTGTGCTTTCCACACACACACCCTCTGGGCTCTCACCCTTCTCCTGAAGGGACTGGGGCTCCTCTTCAAGATCACAGCACAGGTGCTCCAGGGGCTCTGGGGCTGTTCTCCATGGCCCCTCTTCCTGGGTTCCCCTTTCCACCTGGGGCTCTGCTCCATCCAGCTGGACATTCATTGACTCCCATCCTGTCCCCAGGGCTGCTGTCTGTTCTGAAAGCATTTTTGCTGCAAACCCAAACTGTGACCTGGAACAAATTCATATCAGCTGTCCCCATGAAAATGGAAAGAGGTAATATTCCTAAGGGAGTTATGGAGAGCAGCCCAGGGAGAAAAGATGAAAGTGGATAAGAGGAGCTTGATGGAAGATGAACTTTAAAAGCTTGATGTGTGTTCCAATCAACTGAGCCTGAGCCAAGCCTCTTGGAGGAACTAAGAAATGAGCAGGTGCTACACAGCAAAGTCACTAATGGTTATTTTGGGGACCTCATGGTAGAAAGAGAATATCCTTAAAAGGTAGAAGAACTTCATTTAAAAAAAAAGAATAATCTTGGAAATTGAAAAGTTATCCATTAATTTCAACCACTGAAAATACAGTAAAGTAAGCAATCTGGAAACATTCAGTAAGGAATGGACACAGACTTGCACTCAACAAAAATGGATGTAATCACACATAAGATTTTCTGTGACAAGCCCCATTCTCATTAATTAGTTTAGAATGAAATGATTACTATAGGTAGAAGTCTCAGCCAAAAGGCATATGTGTCATGAGCACACACCTCCTTTATGAGGCTGAACCAAATGGTGCCTCACTTAGGACAAGCCTCAAGAAACAGACCTATAACCTGTCACTCTGACGTAGACAATGAGAACTGGTAGTAAATGTGGTAGAAAGACCATTAACTTGGAAAGCAGGTGTAAGACTTGAAAGCAACCCTAACGGATAAGAGAAATTGTTGATTAGTGAGGCGCTTATGTCTAATTGGGAAAAGTGAAAAAGAACAGAAAGTGTTTGAACTAAAAGTGGAAAAAGGAGAACCAGTTGGTGCTAACATGGGGTGAATTAACAGCTCTGGGATTTAAGACACAGGAAAGAACCTGAGACACAGGAAAGAATCACTCAGATCTCATTAGAAAAATGTATTCAGTTTTTAAAAAGGGTATGGAGAAGCTAGAGTGTGTACATCGAAGAAAGAACAGTGAAGAAAGGGGTGGGAAATATGGCTATTGGGGAAAAGTTAACAATGATGGACACAGTTTTCTCTTGCCTAGGAAAGAAGGCTGATGAATGAGGCTACCAATGAATAAAAAAACAGATGTCTTCTATCTCTATATAGATCTCTTCTCCTGATTGCAAGAGAAAAGATTTAGGTTAGATAAGAAAAATTCTTAACAATAATCCTGCAGTGCACAGGACCAGGTTGTGGGCTCTTCTTTGGACATCTTAGGAGCAGGACAGGTCCCACTTGTGTTGTGATAGGGGCCTCCCTGCCTTATGGCAGAGAAATAATCTATGAGACTGCACAGAGTCCCTTTCTGCTTGGCAACATCATAGTTTTGTGATTCTTATTCAATACCCAAGCAGTCAGAGCCAGTGAAAGGCTTCCAAAAACAGGTCAGACCCTTGGTAACTATCCTGGCTCACTCACATCCATCCAATAATGTATGCAAGAACCAGGAGCAGAAGATAGGCAATGACAGATGCCAAGTTGTTTATTTTCTTGCCTATTTGTCTTTGACAAAAGAGGTAGGTGGGAATTCTAAGCCCAATACACAGGAAGGGAACAAATTCCCCTTTCATCTCAGAAGTCCAAAGATGTCTCAGGGCCTCATGAGAGCATCCTGGACTGATTCCCAGCTTGGGAGGTTTCCTTTTCCGAGACTTCTCATGAGAAACGAAAATTCATGATAAAGCAATAAAGGGAAACTTCCATTTTAGCTCTCTCCTCTGAATTCCAGCCCCTGTATTCGCTTCAGTTTTAACACATAAGGCACAGATTCCCCTCTTCACCAGAAGTCTTCCTTGTTCTCTAGCTCTCTTCACAAATCCTCCCTCAGGGCTTTTACAACTCTAGCTAAATATCTGGACTCCTGTCTCAAACCCATTTCTCCATCTTCCCAGAGTCCCTTGATGGGAAGCCTCTTGCTGCAGAGCCCAAGGGGCCAGCGGCAGCCTCTCCAGACCACGACAGAAAACCTGTGGAAGCGCTGGCAAAAATCTCAGCAAAGGAGGGGCGGGTACTTGTCCTCAGACTGCATTTCCCAAGATGTTCACTCGCAGAGCCAGCCCTGGGCAGTGGAGATGTCAGCCCTAACCTGGTTTCTCCTGGCTCCAGGATGATCCAAGGCCTACTGGAGGCGGGGTTCTCGGGCGTTCATTTCCCCTCTTTCCTCACTTATCTGGGCGCAAGGCACCTGCAGAAGTTAGTTTTTGCCGCGAGCGCTGTAGGACGGAGACAGGGCCCTGCTATGGGAATGAGGAGCCCAAGGGCACAGGGACGAGCGGCGCTCTGTCACAGAACCCCGGCCCCTGCCCCGGCTGGGGCGTGGGCGGGACGGGCGCCTGCTCCGGAGTAAGGTTGCTTCTTCCCTCCTTCTTGTCACAGTGCCCCTGGAGAGGGTCAGATTTCAGAGAATCCGAGAGAGGCAGAGCCGGAGCAGGGGAAGTGAGGTCAGAAAACAGGTTTCCCGTGAACTGGGGCATGAGCAAGTGGAGAGAAAGGAGCCGCGGGGTAACCTGTGCGCGAGTGACAGCGGCGGGGACCCGCGGGGCCTGACAGCGACGATGGGGACGGGGAGACAGGGCGAGGGGCGGGCACAGAATGTCAGTGGGACGGACCCCCGGGGAAGACAGCGACCCGGAGGCCGCGTCGATGCTCCTACCCGCCCCCATGGGGGACCGGGCCCCCACCCGCCGCCCGGGAAGCCAGGCGTCCCTCCCGCCAGCCGCGACTCCCTCAGGCCAGCCCCACTCACCCCGGTCGGCTTGGCCTGCGGCCCGGTGCCTCCCTCCTGGGCGCCGCCCGCCCCTCCCCTCCCCTCCGCCCTGCGCTTCGTCGGAGCCGGCGGCCGCCGAGCCAGCGACAGGCGGAGACGGCGGCCCGGCGGGCGCGGGCGGGGCGGGCACAGGAAATCCCCGCCCGCTTCCGGGGCTCGGCGGCGGCGGCGGCGGCGCGGGCGTGGGGAGGGGCGGGCGCGGCTGCCGCGTCCCCCGCCGCCGAGCCCCAGGGGCGTCGTGGGCCCGGGCGTCCGAGGGCGGCCTCCCGGGGCCGCTCGCCCGCGCCCGCTCCCTGCCTGACCGCCTTCCGGCCGGGCCCCTCGGCCTCCCGCCGCGTCCTGTGCACACGGGCTCACGAGTTACCTCGACATTTAATGACCGGTCGTCGTGTGCCAGACAGTCGCTGTGGCAGCGATTTCTGGAGACAACAGTCTGGAATTCCTCAAGGAGCTTACCTTCTAGGTTTCAAGACAGCGAGGATGAGGCGCTTGAGAGGGCGTCGAGGAGGAGTCCCTGATTCTCAATGAGGGAGAGCCAGGCCGACTTCAGAGACGGTGCGGTCTGAAGTGGGCCTTGCAGCTACATTGTCCAGTTTGCGGGAGCCACTGGCCACATGTGGCTGTCCAAATGGAGATGTGTGGTGACACACACACCAGACTTAGGAGACAGTTAACAAAATGTAAAATGGATAATAAGCAGTATTTTGGGTATATTGGGTTAAATATATTATTAAAATTAATTTCACCTACTTCAACTTTTTAAATATGGCTACTAAAAATTTTAAATTATATATGTGGTTTGCATTATATTTCTGTTGGACAGAGCCACCTCAAAGCATTAAGATGAATTTGACTGGAAAAGATGAGAAGGGCCTACAAAACAGAATAAACACATCACCATTAGAATCTGTTTATAATCTGGAAATCACATCCATTATTTCGTCATCACAACAATTCTGTAAAATTTTATTTTATAGACTTAAAAAATAAGTGACTTATTTAAGGTCATAGGTGACGATCATTCCTTTAATATATATTTATTTTTTGCTATGTGCTGCGCGTTGTAACTAAATGCTGGGAGTCAAGGATCCGAAAGGAATTGTCAGTGGATTCAAGGACTCAGTCTGCAGAAACACGTCAACAAATATTTGCAATAAAATGTAATAGATGCTAAAATGGAGGAATATACTCTGCACTAGGAGCAAAGAAGTGAACACGTATGGGAGGGAGGTCAGAGAAGGCCTCAAGGAAATCTTGAGGCAGAGAAGAGTGGAGAGGGCTCCATAAGGAGGAAGAGGAGAAAGTGCTAGACATGTAGTTGGGAAAGGGTATACAGCATATTATAGAGTGGATCATAAGGTATGTGGGAGGAGTGGTGGAGCCAGGATTTGTTTCTTAGGTTCTAGAACTAAGTCCGGGGGTTCTTTTCATTGATGTTACCACTGGTGATAAATACAAGGTGTGTTAATTGGGGTAGGCTAACAATACCAATATCTCAGTGGCTCAACACAATAAAGGCTTATGTTTTGTGCAAGTCACAGTGTGTAGCAGTTTGGCTGGTGCCGGTGGGTGGGGCGTCTGCTCCTTGCAATCATGAAAGGACCAGGCTGCTTCTATCTTGTGACTCTGCCATCCCCTCTTGCCTTAGACTCATCTAATCTATGGGCCTCAGCTGAGGAAGGAGAGCTGTGGCTGACTTGTTGGAGATATCAGGGGCCAGCCCTGGAAGTGGCATACATCATTTTCACCCCATTCCCTCAGCCAGAATTAAGGTGCATGGTCTAACTGCAGCGGTGGCTGAGAAGTAAAGTATGCGTGCCTGGTGGAAAAGGAAATGGCGTTTGGTGAACACTTAGCATTGTCTCTACCACATAATATTAAATTGAACATAACCAAGCACCTAAATCTGACTTTACTTGAAAGGGATATGTGGGGAGAGCTGGCAGATAGATATGAGAGGCAGCCCAGACTCTCCTCTCCTCTTCTCTGGGAAGCAAACCAGTGTGAGATTGTATCCTTAAAAAAAAAAAAAAGGCAAAACAGGCTTTGGCCTAATGGTACTATTGTAGGTTATTAATATTTAATAAACATCTACCTTATGCCAAAACCTTGTTTTAAACATCACAGGGAAAAAATGTAAAATGCCTTTATATTATGCTTTGACATGCCATCTCTTTAACTACTGATCAACAAACTGTAAAGTGTAGATATTATCTCAACATGGGGTCAGGGGCATTAAGTGAGCCAAAAGGCGAAATTGGGAATTGAGCCCTGGCCTTAGGCTTATAATCAGGTGCACCTCTCCAGAGTGGTAACTTACCATTCACAGTAATACATGGACAAGTCCAAACTCCTATATGATGTTACAGGGTGGAATAATTAAATATGCTATGAGTAGCAGGAAGATGAGTCTATATTTTAAGGCTTTCTGGTGGAAGAGTTTCAAGATCAGCTTTGAAGGCAAAATGTAGGAAGAATGTCTTGGATAGAATCAGAAGGCAGATATGGATGTGCTGTGGCCTGCTACGGGATGAAGACCACACAGATGTAGGAGTGTCTATTTAGAATAGAGAAGAAATGAAATGGGGAAATTGATAGAAAGATTAGAATAATGGGTCAGGGTTTTTTATTTGCCTTGTTAAGTAATAGGGAGTCACTATATTTAGTGTTATAAAGAAGTGATATACCTGATGGGTTTAATTATATCATTCTAAGGAAACTTGGTGGTCCAGGACTGCCCTGTTGATAGAGTTCAGATCAACAGAATGGGATGAGTTGGACCCATAGCCAGATTCTAGTGTGTGGAATGCAGAGTTCCTTAGGACACAGCAGTGTTCTTTCTGGGGCTCAGGGAGAGGTCCCAGACATCTAAGGTTCCAAGTTCTCTATGGGACTTCAAAAGACCTTAAGGGACTCAGTCTCTTGCCTGTCAGCCTTGGCTCCTTCATTTCTGAACTCTTCTTCTGCTGTGGTTTGAATAAGAAAGTACGATGCAGGTGTTCACCAGTTTAGGACTGTGTTATAAAAGTTCCTTTATTAGTCATTTGATTATAATGAATTATCAGCTTGGCTTATAAAGCCTGTTTGGCCGTAATGAAACTATACTTTCAACTGCTAATTAAAACCTAACCACCATTATGACACTGCTTTTCTTTCATTCAAAGTTTTGAAGCTTGATGTCAGAGATGAATTTTCTACCAGTAGGACAATGGAGAAATTTACTCATCTATGTCCGTGACTGTAAGGGAAAGAGGAAGATTGAGAGAAGTGTCAGGTTAGGACTCTTGTGGAGAGAAAGAATGGGGCCTCTTCTCAATAGTTAGTAATTATAACTAACATTTGTAGAGCACTTTACAAGTTACAAAGTGCTTTTGCTCACATGTGATCTTCACAACTCAGGGAGATAAATTATCTTTATCTCTAGTTTATGGTTAAGGAAATAGTGATTCAGACGTTTAAAATTGTAGAAACTCCACTTTTTTGTTCTATAATCCTGGGAAGATTTATGTATATAACTCTGTTTCCTAATCAATAAAATGAGTGTCATTATACCTACTTCATAGGGTTGTTGTGTAGGATAAATGAAGTGATGTAAATACACAATTTAATACATAGTAAGAATTCAGTAAATGATAAGACCTAGGAACTGAAGCTGGACAGGGGGTGAAAAGAGGATGGTAGTAGAGTGATGGACAGTGCAAAGATGGGATGCAAGATAAATTTTATTCCTGAGTCTCAGTTAGGTAGACAAATTGGCTGGAATGGAGTGAGCTGAAAATATAGGCGGCAGAGTGGGGTGCTTGAACTGGAGATTCAGGAGGGGTTGCGGTTGTTGATAATACCTGGGTATAGGATATGACTGAGAGTGAGTGCCCGAGGTGGTGGACACATCATTTAAGGTAAGAGAAAGTCAAGGAGCTGAGAGACTAGGGTGTTAGCATTGATAGTATTCAAAGTATTTAACCACCAGTACTAGCATGGGCATGGATCCATCAAAATGGATGTAGCCTATAATGCTGATGCAGTGTTCTGAAGGCACCAGCGGCTATGAAAATATCTCAGTATTTCAATAATCATACTGGTACAATGCAACCCAGGGCATGAGATGGATTGTCCACATGGTATTGAAGTCACCAGGAATGCTGATGGGGTTATGGAGAGTGGGAGAGCAAGCCAGTTGAGGGAGTCTTTAATGAAAGAGGGAGAGTGACTAGGAGTGTGGTAGGTGATAATAACAAGGAAGGGCAGTGTGTGGGAATGGTTTGATGGCACGGCTTCAAAGGAGCAGGACATTATTTAGAGGAGGAAGAAGGGAAATGGTACTTGAGGCAGCAATAAAGAGCAGAGAGAACACTTATTCTGCTTCTAACCCTAGGTGGTATAAAGCAGTGGTTTTCAAACATATATATATATATATATATATATATATATATTCAAAAGCCATCATTTGTATAATTGAAACTTTCATGAAACAACACTCAACTACATGTAGTATATGCTGATGTTTTCTATTCTATTACTTTATTTTAGAAGTTTTGTTTTTACTACCCACTAAATTGATTTACAATGCACAAATGAGTTACAATTTACTGTTTGGAAAGCATTGGCATGTAAGTATTAGGAGAAAAAATAGCCACCCCTGAGAGGACTGCAAGGGAAGTGTGCGTGTCCTCAAGTGTAGCCGGGTTTCAGTTGGATAAAGGAGGTGAAAGAAACATCTATCAAAGAGGTTGAAGGATAAAGGGATGCCTTAGTCTGTTTGGGCTGCTATAACAAACTACCATAGGCTTGGTGGCGTATCAGCAACGAACATTTATTTCTCACAGTTCTGGGGGCTGAGAAGTCTAAGATCAAGGCGCTAACAGATTCAGTGTCTGGTGAGAACCTGCTTTCTGGTGTCTTCTCACTGTGTCTTCACATGC